CTATATACATTAGGTAAATCTTAAGTAGACTTCAGAGGCTAAGGAAGGGACATGCCACAGATCTCTGAAGGAGCTGACCACAAACTGCTTGAAAGTTCTTTTGTGCTGGGATGGAAGGACAATTAATTGATTTTCATACAAACTTCCCACCGGAAATGCCTTAATAAATGGTAACAATAATAAATAATAGTACATGAACATAATGAAATATTAAGCAACAATGAAAAAAGAGGGTTATGCAAAACTATACCAAAAAAGCTCGTAATATGATGTTCAACAAACCAGAATAGAAAAGCTCAAGGAGTTTTACTATATAAAAATCCCCACATCTTGATGACGGCCCTACCCAATGAGTGCCTCAGGCTCTGCCTTTCTGATTCATCTACTACTCTGCACTTTCTTGAGAATACACCTAACACAACTAATATCTGCCCTAACATCTTTACTCTAGCTGTACCCATTGCCTGGAATAGTCTTTTCCCAGATCTTTGCATGGCTAAGTCCCTCATCACCTTTAATAATTCTATGATATTGGAATTACGATCATCCCCAGTATGCCAATAATTTGACAAAAGTCAACTAGACCATTAAGTTCCATGATGACAGAGGACTTCTTTATGTTATATGTATCCCTAATGCCTAGCTCTGTGCCAAGGATGAATGTACAGTCTATAGATAGATATCTGTTCAATGAAAATAATGTGATTTTCTAATTTCTTCTTCAATGAATATACACTACTTATAAAACAATAAAGTATGCATATTATGATCACAACAATGTAAATATATATACTCGGCAATATACAAACTATAAATGTCATATTAAGGTGGTGGAATTAAGGGAAGTGTTAACTTTTTGAACTTCAAAAAATATTATGTATTCTTCAGTTATTAAACATAAACTTTCCCACTGTGTTTTCTCATAGAGAACATTCCTTTATGTGAAAACTTAAACTGAGAAAACAGGTTATATGTATGTAGGATTTGTGACTAGGAACATGGGTGTGTTTATACTAGGTGGGCACTTTGTTAGGAATATCACATTTATCATTTCATTGAAATTATCCTTGTTTTAATCTCCCTAATAAAAAATATGTAATAGAATGACAATAAATTAAGAATAGCAAGAAGGGAAGAAATGTTGCCTGAACCAAGAATTAGATGCCAATGAAATATGAGTAGCTGCACCAAAATAAGAAATATGGATATGTTCACAAAAAGATCTATAGAACTTTAATGCATGTAGCATAATCTAAAGTATTTGAAGATTCTCTGCTATCTTAAACTTTATTAAATTCTCTTATGCATATTCAGAGATAATTTAAACAGAACAAGTACATTTCTTTGCAAAATCTCCTAATATTTTCTTCTATTTTGGTATTTGGGACAGATAAACAAACACAGCCTGATGCAACTATATATATAGTAAGATTTAACCAAGTTAAAAAAAAAAAAAAGAGAAGAAAAATCTGACATCGTAAAAACTATTCACAGAAAAAAGAAATTAATACAGGAAGTAAATGTACATATCTTTGGATGGTAAGACTATTTGTTTTCTGGTTTGTAGTTTCTATTATTTTTATAATAAAAATAAACTTTACTTAAAAAAATAAGGTTTGCAAAACGTACTCAAATACATTATTGCCATCCAAGAGATAAATAATAACATTTTACATTAGATAAGGTGGTTTCTAGGCCACAAAAGAAAATAAACTATATAATATAAACTTAAATCCCTCTATTTAAGTCTGACAAAAAAAGAATTTTTGAAATAAAATAAGACTCAAGTTCTTACACAGATAAATCTAGATAGGTGAATAACAGCTTTCAACCACTGACAGGAAAAAGAAAAAGAAACCACAAAGTAATTTTCTAAAAGCAACACTACTAAATTATTATATCTGTTTGGAACACTCATGCTCCAAACAGATATTATCTGAACCCCACAATCTAAAAAAAAAATTGTTCTCATAATATATATGTTGAGGTAAATTGATGTGCAGATCTTAACTTACACTTACAGAAATGCATTTTAGCAGCTTTCAAAAAACAATACCTATGCAGCTAATAACATTTCTCATATCTGAAAAGATGAATTTCAGAGCGGAGAAGAGAAGAAAACCTCTTGCAGCAGCACTAACTATATAACATAGTTTAACATAAAGTATCCATAGAGATGGAGTATGCTACTGTTTCTCAAACTAAGCACCAGTCTTTTAAAATTTCCAGTTCAGCAGAGAATCCATCACACTTCTACAAAATACTGTTAAAATAGTTAAACAAGGAAACCATTAGTCTGGGGTAGCTCTAGTGCCTTAGGAAGCATAGCCTACTTCAACAAACCAAAACCTAAGCCAGAGTCAGTGCACCTGAATCTCAGATAACAAAAATCAAAAACTAGTCATAAACGGTCAACTAGATTTTCTTGAGTCTGGGAAAATGAAACTCAAGAACAACTATAATAACAGTCAAATAACTAAAATTTCCCAAATAAGGCAAATATTTAAGTTACAGTCAATTAACTTATTTTGCTCCCATGTCTTCTCTATAAAAATCTCTGTCCTAGGCCCTACCTGCAAAGTAGCCATAACCATTTTTAGTCTTGGTGCTGCACCATTCAAATCATTGGCTCAAGCTTTTCAAAATTTAATGTGTTTTAGTTTATTTTTTTACCATACCATTAAAAAAACACTAGAAAATAAAATATACAAAATACAAGTCCAAATGTTTTAAATTATTATTGGATTTAACAGATATAAAATTACTGTTAAATTATAATACAGGCTTCTGAACACAGTTTCTATACTGATCTTCTAGTTAACCAATATACTAGGCACTTTGGGTAGTCCAGGACTAGAGATCAGCCCACTGACACCTCCTTCCAACTCCTTGCTTCTGAAGCCCCAAACAGGCTTCAGAGGAAGCCCCAAGGATCAGCAAAACACTGCAAACAGAATGGTTAAAACATGGAGCCTCACAAACAGCTGGCCACTAATGCACATGAATGGGTGATATAAGCCATCTGCAAATCAATTCTATCAAGATTTCTTTTCTGACAACTTTCTCCTATGAATTTTTAAAAAATGGCATGTGGAAATTATGTATATAATTTATATACTTATGAAATAAGTTTCCCATTTCAAATTGAGAAAAAACAGAAATAAAACCAATAGCTACAGAAGTATTTGCTGTATTTTAATATCATTCATTTATCCCTTCAACAAATTTTGTGGGCTGACTAAAATTACATCAAGAAAACAAATATAAATGTTATCAAAAATCTACTGTTTCAGATCTTCCAAAAGTTTCCCATCACTAAAACCAATATGACATTGTAGCACTCAACATTAGAAATTGCTTTATTTACTCAATTTGAGCAAGAAACAATAACCTTGGATTTGAGCATAACTTGAACAAAGGTAAACAAATGTGAAAAAACTGAGTATCTGTTGACTAATCTATTTTTCCAAATGTGAATGTTACGATGCCACAAAGTCATTTCACCCAAGCAGGTCCATTATTTCATAATTTTATTTTAGTTTTCCTTTTGCTACAAGATTCCATCTCTGTCAGACATATTGAGACAGATTTGTTTCTGATGAACAGATATTTGCATCTGGTAGGATTTTTATTTTTCTCATTAGAAAAAAAAAATCCTATGAAACTAGCTGGAAATCTACCCACTTAAACAAGTAATCTTGGGTCTCTGTCTCAGTCTACTAACTTTTCACATTTTGCTTTATACTTTAAATTAGTACATTAAGATACAAAACCCCAAATTTACTTATCTAGGTAGCTAGTTCTCCAACTATAAGTCCAATAACTTAACAGTTACAAACAACTAAAAATATTTTAAAAATATGTCAGTGAAAATTTGACATTTTGGGGCAGGAGAAAGAAACAAACCTGGAAAACCATGATGCTATATGGTAGAATGCACTTTACATCTAAAATCAGGGACCTATTTTCAAGACCAAGTTCTACCTTTGCGTAGCTATGAAATCTATGGAAAAGTTACCTAATTTTTCTAGGTCTTAAGTTTGCTATCAGGCCTTCTTCAGAGTGATATTATAAAAGAAAAATGAGATTGTATATAAAAGTGAATTGAAAATGTGAAACCATACACTCATCAGATCTAGTTTTAGAAGCATATGCACCCAGTCATTAGGGATTCATCAGCAAGGAGCACTAAGTAACACAGATTGCTTACTATCACACTGTGCCATGGCTTTCTATTTTTAGTTTCCACCATCTGAAAGGCACAAACAATTTAATTTTAGAAGTGCTGTAGAAGGAAAAGGAATAGGGAAGAGGACAAAACTATAAATGAGAAAGAATTACTGAAGCAAAATGGCTGCTTGTTATAAGTCAAGAGGTTATCTGTGCTTCAAAGAGCAAAGCCAACTAAAGCCAATGAAAATATTTATGTTCAATATCCCTATACATATCTGGGCAAAGTTAGGAATAGCAATAACATATTAAAAGAACTTTATGTTATACCAACATAAAAACCAAAAAGGACAAAAAACACAGACTGCAAAATATTATAAATATGAACATCAAAGAGTAGCCTCCAATAAAACAGTAAGGGTAAAGCAGCAACAACAGGAATATGGCTGTCATTATTCTCACTTTATGTGAAGACACATTAGATGATCTCGCTCACTCTGAACAAACAGGGAATATAAGAACAGATCTGTATGAGTGATGAGACAAAAGAGAACAAAGAATAAGCTTGAATAAATAAGCAACATTTGCAGAGTATAGACACATAACCAAGATGATTATTGGAAACTGTGTTAAGTTAGTGAAAATTTGGACAAAGGGTTGCGTTTTATAACTTAGTGATGTTATTAATGATTACACAACTGTCAAAAATATTTTTAAGCATTTATATTATAAAATGCAGTGGTGTCTGAGATATAGAATTATACATTCAGAACAGATTAGAAAAATCATCTCACTGTCACTACTTTGTGTGTATAAACTTTAAAACTTACCAGATTCCACTGTCATTTGAAGCAAACTATCAATAACATTGGATAGGATTCCTTTACTGGATATTCTTAGATGGTTTACTATCACTGGAACAGCTTGATACTCCAAAAATAAGGTTTTTCCTTCATCTGTCTTCAAGTCCAAACAAAGAGAATCAAATGCCTGAGCCAGATAATCAGCTGAAAAACAATTTGTAAAATCAACTCCCATATCAGTAGTCTAGATGGTAATCAAAAACAGAAGGCACAAAGGGAAACAAAAATTAAATGACTGGAGATTACAGTCTAAATTTAGATATTTTCCCCCTAATTTGTTAGAACTCAAATGGGAAGAGAGAAGAGGAATTACATTATTATTAATTCAGAATTTTCATTTTAACATTGAAATAACAATAAACCATACTTCTTTATTTCAAGAAAACCATTGATGTTTAATAGTAAATAGCACAAGCAATGTTTATATTCCATATGTGAGTATAACTACAACATGCTTTCAAAAATTTAAACAGCCATTAGTATTTCTATCTTAATGATAGCTTCTGAGATTATATTTTTTGTTGTTGTTGCTGTTTTCTAAATGTTTACCCATTTCAAAATATAACTTTATACAAACTTGCTGAATGGGTTTTAAAAGAGGATTTTTGTCTCCTAAAAAAGATAAAACTTTAGCCATTCAGAACCAACTTCAGAATTTGGATGTGTTACTTTTGTGATATATCTGCCACTAAGAATTATTTACCAAGGCCAATGCTATGATGGCACCTGCCAGATCAGAATCCCTGGAACTTTCTTAAAGATGTTCCACAGATGACTAGGAAGCTTATAAAGTCAAGATTAAGAAGCACTAATTTAACTAAAATCAATGCAAATGAGACATTAAGATACTCAATAGCATTACATTTGAATAAACCAAACAACCCAAGTCACTACTCTTACAACGATTTTACATTGTACTTTTAAATGTACAAAAATTATGTTTTCTAAAACTCTTATTTCAATATACTAGTCAAAGGAATAAAAAATTGTTCATGCTGGTCAAGTACAAGTGTTAATTTTTCTACTGAAATTTCTGTTTAAAGAATACTTAAGAGTGTTCTGAAAATATGACAGAATGACCCCATTAAAATTAACTGTCTTCTGGCCTTTTACAGCATTTCTTGTTGTTTCAGCTTAATTATTACTAAAATAATTATTACTAAAGTAATTATTACTTTAGTAATAATTAAGAAATCTATTAAGAATGAGAAGTCGAGAATAATCTGTATGAAATTAAAATACATATAAAAGAATTTTGAGAAATTAAGATCTGTGCCTCTCTCTGGTTCGCTCCATTTTTACTTTTGGTAGAATTTAGTTCAAGGAACATTAACATTATTGTACTTAATTTTTGTAGTTTAATAAAATAAAACTGCAAGTAAATGTAATTTACATTAAGCAAAGTTGCTAGATTCTGTTCAGATTTGCCTTATTTAAAGACCTATATTTAGCAAAACTCAGGAAGAAGAGTAGAGGTGAATCCTGAACTCAGTTCTTCACAGGAACAAAAGTTCCTATGCCGCCTACTGTATTTGATGCAAATTACTTCACTTATTAATAGATCACCTGAGATTAAATAGGCTGAATGCTATATCATGAAGTTTGCAAATTGTTCTTTATTAATTTTGGGGGGGGGTAGAAAATGGTATTTGGTTAAGTGGCCTTATCTTTTAAGGAGAATTAAAAATTATATCTCATTTTAATTTTCCTAATAGTGAAGATTTTCTAAAAATAAGACCAATTCAATTTCTAAGAGTACTTTTAAAGTTTTAGTTACCAATAGTATTAAAACTGATTTCTTTTTATGTGTATCATTGTCTTTAAAAAATATCCTGATATTTAACTATAACCTTGTTATTCCCTATTAAAAATCAATTTGTTGATCTTAATTAGCATGAAATAGGGTTTTCTATTATAGTCTAAATGGTAGATTAAAAAAAATAGAAACTTTTGCAGCAGCTCCCATCAAGAGGTGAACTCTATTGTCCACCTGTTGGATATGGGCTAATCTTCTGATTTTAACCAATAGAATGCAGCAAAAATGACACTTGGGTGTTAGAAGCCTGAGCGTGGCCTTCAAGTGGCCTGCCTCTTCCAGTCTCCAGTTGGGCAGTTTACTGACACCACCTAAACAGGCCCAGGCTAACCTGCTTGAGAATGAGAGACAAAGCAGAGAAAGGCCACAGATATGTGAGAAAGCCCAGTCGAGAACAAGGGAGCCCGGCCCAGCCCAGCCCAGCCCTACCACGCAGCTGAGTGGAAGATTGTGAGCTAGTAAATATATGGTTTTTAAGCAATTAAGTGTTTGATGGCTTATTATGCAACAATAGAAATCTAATAATGCAGTCTATAGACCTCAATTCTGATCTCGAGTAAAACCAACTCTTATAAGTCAAGTAGTAATAAATAATGATGTTTACGATGATAGCAGCTAGTTTATTAGGAGCTTACTATATGCCAGATTCTTTGCTAAACCTTCATTCTTATTTAATCTAACAACGACAAAAAAAAAAACCTTTGGTGGAAAACCAGAAAAGGGACCTGCCCAATGTCACAAAGCTAGTGATGGGGCTGGGATTCAAAACTTAGCTGAGTTGAAGTTCTTAACTACTACATTGCACTGTTGTCTTACTAAGTCAAACCTTCCTGTTATGCGTGAGTGGCAACAATTCCCTATATTTCTCTAGGTCTGAAGTACATAATTTGTAAATATGTCAATCTGGAAAACTTGGGGCCAAGTATTGAGTAAGGCAGGACAGTAGAACTAGCCCAGATGCACACATTTTAAAAAGAGAGTATATTTTAATTTAAAAAGAAAGTTGTCTCTAAAACAAATCAAATAAAATTCTTATTATCATCTTTACCCAGATAAAATGAGCATGTACATGTTGAAGGTTTTATTAAAATGTTTTCATATTGATTCCCATATCTACATACTTATAATTGTTAATGACATATAACATTGTGCTGCCTCATGATATTGTTAAGGGCCTGGTTATTTGGAGTCAAGAAAGATCTGGGTCCCATACATCTGCCTGATTCTCAGCTGGCTCTTCTGTAAAAATGACCATACCACCTACCTAATAAGGTTATTGTGAGGAATAAGTTTGAAATAACCAAGTGAATGACTAGAAAAATACCAGAAACAGGGAAAGAATCCATTTAATATTCATTTCCTTTATTATTCCAATTGTGGGTTTGTCAGTTATTTAACTTTTATCATTATTACAAACAACACATTAACACCTTTCAACTTCTTTACCTTTTGAATTGTTTCCTTGCAATAAATCTTATGAAAAGTTATGATATATTTTAGGAATGCAGTTCAAAAATTATTATAATTTATAATACATTAAAATTGTATGTTTCTTCTCAATGATTTATTATATACAATCATTTTCCTTTTATAAGTGTAGTGGATATGAGGTTATATCTGACAGTTAAATTTTATTTCAGAGATTCAGCCCAGCATGTGATTAAGAGTGCAGGCTTAACCTCTCTACGTCTCAATTTTCTGATTTATAAAATTGAGATACTAATACTGACATCTCATAACTTTGTAAGGATTAAATGAGCATATGTAAAGTGCTTAGCCCATAACATAGTAATAAGTGCTATGTGTCTGTTGTTGTTATTTCTTTATCTCAGGAAGTATATGCTCTTAGGAAGTCATACAGTAAGGTCAAGAGGGTGGGCTTTAATATGAAAAGAGCTGAGCTGACCTAGATCAGATTGTCAAATACTAGTCGTGTGGCCTTGGCACACTTATCTAACCTCTGTGAACTAATCACCACTAATATAGGGATAACAATATTCAGAGATAATGTACAAAGAGCTTAGCATTATAATGTCAAATTTATACCAAGTATTATCTATATTATTATATGAACAATCTATTTGCACTATTCATTTAATAGAAAGAAGGAATTATCTTACAGATGTATATATTGTAAATCAAAAGTCATCACTGCCAATTCAACACCAACAAGAGTTCTCAATTTGTGGTGTGATGAGAGGAGAGATTTTATCTAGTGCAAATAACTCAATTGTGAAATAGCTCAATGGTGATACAGCTAAATTATGATACAGCACAGCTATGAAAAGGCTCAGGTGAGGTGGCCTCGATGTTAGAGCTCCAGTGTTAAAGCTCTGCTCCACTCCACTCCAGGGAGACAGCTCCAGTTCTGATGTTGTCACTCCAGCTGAGGAAACAGTCTTCGAAGGAAATTGAAAGTGTGCTCTATTGAGACAGAGGTGAAGTTGACTTATAGGGAGTTCGCACCCCTGGTCCCTGATTGGTCTGTTCTCATGCAAATGACGACTCCAAATCCTATTTGGTCCAAAAAGCACCGTCCTGACTGGTTGGAATGGAGCCACTCTGATTGGTCAGTAAAGATGATAAAGCTGCACAGCTCTGATTGGATGAGAAAGTCTCAATCCTACTGGTCAGATTTTGATCTAGGAGCTGGTTTATAAGGATCAACTCAGATGGCAGGAGCATAGTGCAGAAGGCTTGGCAGCCAGGTCTGTGGCTTTTCAGTGAAACACAGTGTGCATGAGAGGCCTGTGTAAACAATGGCTGCTAGACTCTAGTTCTGAATTTGGGCCTGATAATCACAAGGAGTCCTTCTTGGCAGGCATATTATTCTTGGGTTAAGCATTTATTATGTGTATTATCTAAGACATTTATATTTTTTCTCTACTAAATTTATCAATATAACTGATACTTCTATTTTAAAAATAGGAAATACCTTTTTACTAGAGTTAAGGAAAGTCAATTATTCTGATTTAAAAGCTTTTAAATTTTCATTTCTTCTAGAATTTTTGCAGTGCATATTAAGACAGTCTATTTAATCATGTCTCCTTATGGTATTAACTAGATGTCTTTTTCCTTTCTTGGCCCTTTTACTCAGGTTGCTTTTCTGTATCCAAAGATTACAGGCATACCTCGTTTTATTGTGCTGCTTTAATGTGCTTCACAGACGTTGCATTTTTTACAAAAAAATTAAGATTTGCTTTATTATGGTCTGTAACTAAACCCGCAGTATCTCCAAGGTATGTTTGTATATAAATTGGGATCCAATAGCCTCCTTTCAACCCTCAGCCTACTCACCTCTCTGGAGCATCTGACAATGAAGGCAGAA